TGCAAACTGAGGCCTCTGAATTCCCTGCCGTTTCCATTCTGGAACAGCCTCTGTGTTTGCAGCCCCTCTGTGTTTTTTGTTTGTTATAGAATACAATATGCGTCGCTCGGCTGTAAATATTCAGAGACAGGAATCAGTGGAAGCCCCCCCCCCTCCCCCTTCGATCTGCAGGATCAACGCTTTGGTCCCATCACTTGTTTTAGTGTGAGGCGGTGCCAAAAACTGAAGTTTTACTGTTTTTTCTTTTTTGCATAAAAAGGGGACATATTTATCATAATATCTAGAGTATACTGGCGGGAACGGATTGACAGATTGGTCGTCACTCAGCATTGGGGGGATCCTGACGATGCTTTAGGCCAGTGGTTCTCAAACTGTTTGAGCCATGACCCCTAAGATAACACAAGTTTGTGTTTGTGACCCCCCAGTTTGAATTTTTAACATGGCATGACTAATAACGTTGTTGTTCAGGCATTCATGCATTCAAATTTAATGTGTTAATTCCACAGAGTCATCTCTTTACATTAACACATAATGGGTTTTTTTTTTTTGAATGAATGAATGAATTTAATTTATTTCGAACAAATGAAAGGGGGAAAAAATACATAAAAACAAAAGAAAATAATTTTTAAAAAGAGCAAAAAAAAAGAAAAATAATATTGCATAATCCAATCATAATATTACAAAGTTCGAAAAAGGAGTGGGAAGCAGTAAACACTTTAATTTTGACAGCCCTGATAAACGTTTATTTGCTAAATGTAGGCTTTATTGTTTTTTTTGTTTGTTTTTTTGTTTGTTTGTTTGTTTTTTTACAATGATCTGGCGACCCCCTGAAATTTTTTTGGGACCCCCAGTTTGAGAACCATTGCTTTAGGCCACTGCACAGATTTCAGTCTATTGAGTGAAAACGTGGGGTTAAAAAAACAAACAAAAATAAATAAAAACAGCTATATCCGAATCTCCTGTTGGTTAAAGACGAACCGTCGTTTTACGCCACAAAAAACGAAAAGAAAAAAAAACGGTTTGGAGTGCAGATCGATAGAAGGCCGTGAACGCACCGTTGTAGTCCAATTGAACTACAAGTCCCTTGACTCTTTGCTCTACGGCCGTCAAGTCGCGTCGTGCTCTGGATTTGGTTTTGAACGACAGGGGCGAGCGGGAGTGTGTCTGTCAGCGGACTGGACTCAGATCAGCTCAGCGGTGTTGTGAGTAATCCTGATGTTCATTTCTAACGCGGCGGGACGAGCGTGAAGCTGGTTTACAGCTTAAAGTGTTCGGGATGAAGTGAAACCGAGCTGGGTTCGGGTCGGGCTGGACTCTAACGTCTCCTAACGCCACTCGAGGGGCCGAATTACAACCACGCTCCGTGTCACGTTCACATACCCGTGCTAGCTAAGCTAACTAGTTTCCCCATTTTCACGAGCTAACAACCAACGGGCGAGTTAAAACTTTTGGGGTATTTACTCTTAAACACGAGACCAAGTTTATTATTTATCTGGCAAGCGTGTGGCGAGTTTCTGGACTGACAGAAGTCGGTAACGGCCGTGTGAGCTTCACGGACACCAAACCGCTGCGGCGCTGTGGATGTTAGCATCAGGTTAGCAGCTAATGCTAGCCGCCGGTTGTTTACAGGAGGAGGTGTTCCAGTCAGACCAGACGTTTAGGATTAGACTACAGATGCAAAGAACAATCAATCAGTTCGTCAACTATTACATTTATCACCCGCTTTTGGTCACAGTAGAGTAATTTTTTGAGAATAAAGTCAAAATTCTCTGAATATTCTATAGTTTCTTTACTTCTGTATGAGAGTAAACTGGATTTTTTGGGTTATGGACAGAACAAGACACAGGAGGAGGTCATCTAGAGCTTGTTTCAGCATTTTCTGAGATTTTACAATCCATCCATCCATCATCTATACACCGCTTAATCCTCACTAGAGTCGCTGGAGCCTATCCCAGCTGACTCAGGGTGAAGGCAGGTTCACCTGGACAGGTAACCAGTCTATCACAGGGCTACACTTAGAGACAGACAACCAAGCACACTCACATTCACACCTACAGACAATTTACAATCACCAATTAACCTCAGCATGTTTCTGGACTGTGGGAGGAAGCCGGAGAACCCGGAGAGAACCCACGCTGCACGGGGAGAACATGGAGACTCCACGCGGGTGTCCTCACCGGGACGCCAACCGGCGACCTTCTAGCTGTGAGGCCACGGTGCTAACCACCGAACCACCTGGCAGCCCTTTTACAAACCAAAGGACTAATTAATTGATCCAGAAAATCATCAACAGATTAATCGACAATGAAATGAAGTCGTGTTGATGCATCACTAATATTTCAGTCCCAGTGTGGGGGCGACAGTCACTTTTTTGCAGGTGAAAATGGCTATTAAATGACCTGAACTGGTCCTTTGAAGCTTTTTCAATAAACTACTGAATTGATTAATGTAGAACAGAGGAGGTAAAATTACACAGAGACATGAGGATAATTGCTTCTGTGGACTAAATCAATCAGTTTTTGACTGACGATCACTTTTTGGCACAACACCTGTGAGCAGGTGGAGGTGAACCCATCGGCTGTCTCTCTGTGTTGAGGGAGCATGAACGCTTAAATGTGTGGTTTTTAGTCAAACTGGACACTTTAAATATTTAAAGTAAACCGTTTATACATAGGAGCTCCAGGATTTTTCCTAACCTGACGTTAGACATGAATTAACTATCACTGTGTCGTCCTTCAGTAAAACAGCTTTTCATCAGCAGCTTTTGTTTACTGCTGGACGCTGCGAGATGCTGGTCTTCCAGTTTGACTGATGATCACGTGGTCTGGTGAGGTTTGTTTATTCCAACGGAATGAACTCCAGACGTTTATAGTTGCAGATTTACTTAAATTCACGTTTAAAAAAAACACTAAAACGTGTAAAAGATGTGCATTGAGGACAACAGGTGCATTGATTAGTGCCTGATAAGGTTTTAAGGTTTATGTGAGTTTGTGGTTCGTAATCAAACCACATCCAGGTTATTCTCTGTCTTCTGCAGCGTTCAGTAGTGTGGAGATCTGTCTTTTCTCTGCGTGTTCGTTTGTAAAGATGAGACAAGATTCAGCTCGGTCTCAATTAATCAGTTTAATCACACGCTGATTATTGCATTACAGAGCTCTGGGTCAAACTCTCCCTGGCATCCGACAGAGTTAGACTAACTTACCCTCCCAGCTTGTATCTTTTATACATCCATATTACCCCTATAATTATCACAGTTGTTTTTTCCTCTTTGTGTGTTGCTTATCTATCGAAACCAGCAGTCCGTGTTCCTCTTTCGGGTTCACTCCTTCGTCCTCCCAGGAACCATCTGTTCTGCACCTTTTCCTTTGTTAATAACAACTCAGTTCTCTTCCTTGTCGCAGCAATCCTCCCCACGATCGTCCCTTGATGTCCTCATCTGACTCCGAACCGTCCATTTCTCCTTATAAGAAAACGATCTAAACATCTTCTTTCATAATCCTTTGTTGCGAACTTTATATCTTGCAAACTTCAATAATTACATTTGATAATGGCCTAACGATTACTCATATGTTGATTCATCTAAGGCAGTTACTTCTTTTATTGGTTTACTGAGTATAATACTTTAATGGCCTGAGAAGTACACCGATTATAGAAAAATAGTATTCATTGCTTTATTAAGAATACAGTAATACTCAAGAGATAAAATAATACTCAAGGCAACAGCTGACAGAGTAAACAAGATGTTTAGATGTGAAGCAGATCAGTGGCCTGTGCTTCATTTACTGGGACACATTAATTTAAATTCCATCGCAGGGCTCGATAAATATGTGTGTAGAGGTTTTGTTGTCACATCAGAATGTTCCTGCATATCAGTTTGTTTTTAGTGAAACGACACCTGTTGTGTATTCTTTGTGTTTGTGCTCACTGGGGCCGAAGGACACGAGACAACGGGACTAATTATGAAGCACAACAATAAGCTAATGATGTTTTTGGCCCTCAGGTGCCACCATGGCGACAGATATTGTTGCGCAGTTGGCCGACTCTCTGGCCAAAACCGGAGTCGAGGATGGTGAGCTGAGTTACAAAGGCCAGGGGAGAAAGCTGGATGACGCCCAGTCAGGTGAGTGTCAGCTGTCAGCATCTTTCATTCTTGTATCCTAGCGTTTACACCTAACTAATGAATAGTACTGTGATCACCTGTAACCTCTGAACCTCTGCCCCTCTCCAGTGGCGGAGATAGTGAGGGAGATTCAGGACTTCGAGGGTTTACATGCTCTGAGGTTGGAAGGAAACACTGTCGGCGTGGAAGCAGCACAAGCCATCGCCAAGGCCCTGGAGACCAAGAGCGAGTTCAAGGTTTCTCTTTTTTTACTTCATACCTTTTTGATCATTCCAGTTTTGAATCTTACAGCTGCATCCATCACCTCTGTAACGTTGTTGTTGACTGTTCAGCACATATAAGACTGCAAAGTGATGTTCATTCTGAATCTTCATCATTTTCGCATCCATCACACAGTCCTAACCCGTGTACCTTGATAAGTACACTAAAGTGGTCAAGTAAGATATCAATAAAAACCTTTCTCTCCTAGACCTTATTAAAGTCATGAGGGGCGTCCCTACAGCTCACCTGGTTGAGCAGGTGACCCATAAACAGCAGCTATAATTTCCTGACGCTGTGGGTTCGACTCCCGATCACGACCCGTTCTTCTCCCCCCTTTCCTGTCTCTCTACTGCTCAAAAAGCCAAAAAATTATATATCTATATATATGTATGGGTCATGTAAAATGATCAATAATTGGCAGATATAGCAATGATTAATGTAAAGCTGCCCGGCCGTACATTAGATGGAAAAACGATTATCGTCAACAGCTCCATAGTTGGTTGAAGTTGAAGTACAACCAACATTGTCTTTTTTTTTTTTTTATTTACCCTGACACTGTTTATTTTTATTCTCTCACTCTTAGCGCTGCTATTGGAGCGACATGTTCACAGGTCGCCTGCGCTCTGAGATCCCACCTGCCCTGGTAATGTACCTCTTCTGCTGCTGTCACTATTATTATATAATACCCACAAGTCAGATCACGTTTAGATTTCTTGTAAGGAGTTACTGACGTATGACAGACTTTGCATGTCTAGTTCTTCTCCTGAATTGATCCTTGGACCTGGTCTCCCGGCCGAGGCTCAGGTTGTTTCTGTCCTGTGCCTTTCTTATCCTCCCATTTATTTTACATGTCTTTCTGTCTTTGTCTTGTAGAATGCGCTGGGGGATGCTGTAATGCTGGCAGGTGCCAGGCTTACCGTTATAGACCTCAGCGACAATGCCTTTGGACCAGATGGGGTGAGGGGCATTGAGAAGCTGCTCGAGAGTACTGCCTGCTACACATTGGAGGAACTCCGGCTCAACAACTGTGGCATGGGCATCGGAGGTGGCAAGGTACGTCAGGAGATGAGACGTATGGATCTGTACTGTCATCAGAAATAACATCACAAAGAAGCAAACTTGACAAGTGTGCAGATGCTTTGTAGATCCTACTTTAAATCTTCTCGTGTTTGGAACTCCTCAGATCTTGGCCGCTTCATTGATCCAGTGCCATAAAAAATCCAGCGCAGACGGCAGCCCTCTCAGCCTGAAGGTGTTTATTGCAGGAAGGAACCGACTGGAAAATGATGGAGCCACTGCGCTTGCTCAAGCTTTCCAGGTACAGGACTGACCACTGCTGAAGCTCTGAGCACTCTGTAGGCTGACAGAAGGTGATGAGGACACACAGCAAAGTCTGCTCTGATGAAGACCACGTTGTCTGGTCCATCAGGGTGGTTGTTGAGCATCAATCTTTTATACTCTGTGTCAAGATCTAGTGAAGTTTGCCTTCCTACAGGCCACCTACAGTACAGCTTCATGTGTGAATGAGCCACCGGGTCGCTGTTCAGTCACAGTTGTGACCAGTCTTACTGGGTCAGACCTGGTAACACGACACAAGTTAGAACTGCATGCAGGAGGAGTTTAGCTTCTAAATCACTGCAGACCTGCGTTTTGGTGATTCTTAGTCGACTCTTGACCGTCCTGACCAATCGTCTCCCAGCAGCAGGTGATAGCTTGTGTCTTCTTCCTGATCGTGGCAGTGACACACCTGGACCATGAGCTTTGTATTAATTTTCTGAGCTCGCTGTGGTGTTTGTGGCTGAGCCTGTATCAAATGGACCCTTTTTAAATTGGCTCAGTGGAGTCACCAGCTGTGAGAAGTTAAGAGGCCATGAAACTAAGAAAATGTGATGAAAGCAGCTCTCTGCATCACCAAAACTAATCATTTAAGTTGTATATTTGTGACCCAGCAGATTTTGTCATATTTTCATAAGACCTCATAGATCTGTGACAGAACCGTGGGTTTCAATGATTCCCTCAGAAAATTCAAAATTATAGGAGTCATTGGAAACCCGAGACTGCTGTGATGTACACGATCTTTACAAGTGTATGAAAACGTTTGTTCACAGCTGTATGTCTGAAAAAGGCTTTTTGTCTTCTCAGCTGATGGGCAGCCTGGAGGAGGTTCACATGCCCCAGAATGGCATCAATCACCCTGGAGTGACGGCTCTGGCCTCCGCCATGCAGCACAACGCTGAACTCCGAACGCTCAACCTCAATGACAACACCTTCACTGAGAAGGGGGCTATCGCCATGGCTCAGGTACAGAGACCTGTGGCATTAGCAGCCTGACTGTTAGCACATCCTAACGTGTCCTGTCGGTGAAATGCTGGTTGTTGAAATGATTGTGGCAATGCTGCAGCTCGTTAATCTTGCATTCAATGAAAATTATAAAAGTTTGCTGTTAGTAAAACTGCAGCATATAATGTGTGTGTGTCCTCACAGGCCCTGAAACATCTGCGTAACATCCAGGTGATCAACTTTGGGGACTGTCTGGTACGCCCGGCAGGAGCCAAAGCGATTGCAGAAAGTGTATCAGAGGGGCTACCGATCCTCAAGGTCAGTGACTGCTGCACTTCATTATACGTTCTGAGCAGGTCTGAGCTCTCAACACCACTCACAGTAGGAATAAGCTGCACTGACACGTTGTTAATGGAGAGCCAGAGCCTGTACAGATGTGGATGTAACTCTGTCCTGATTATTGTTATGTAAGGCATTGATGTTTCTTCCTATTAGTGTCTGTTTGGTGTTGGTCTCCCCGTAAATCTGTTGTTATGTTGACCAGGAACTTAACCTGTCGTATGGTGAGATCACAGAGGAAGCTGCTCTGGCCGTGGCGCAGGCTGTGAAAGGCAAGAACCAGCTGGAGAAACTGGATCTAAATGGTACAGACCTGCAAAGAGCCAACTCGGCTTTTCACACATTTACATTTCATGAAGATTTCTAATTTCTTTTTTATGTATTTTGAGTCTCACAATACGGAGAATCTGTGTTTCAAACCAGTTTGCATTTTGAGAAGTAGAGCTGATGTTATTCAGGGATTTTGTTTTTGTTTAATTGGACTCCTCTGACTCCTGTTTGGTTTTCAGGTAACTGCCTCGGAGAGGACGGCTGCAAAGCTTTGAAAGAAACGCTGGAAGGCATGAACATGGCCGAGCTTCTAGGATCACTCAGGTAGTCACATCGTACTCAGACTCCAGGATGCATTAGTTGAGTGTTAAGCCTCTGTTTAAGGCACTACAGCTGACCGACAGAGCAGTTTCTGACATGCAAGTCTTTCGTCTTCTGCCTTATCAGTTCATATATTTTATATTAGTTCATTTGTTAACAGCAATTATTCAATTGACGATTTATTATTAAAGTTCCTAGAACTGATCCTGTCAGCTTGCAGGGTGGTTCCTCGTGTTGCTGTTAGTTGTAGTTGGAGCATCTCGAAGAGGAGTTTATGACGGGAGAAGAGCACAAGCTTCAACAGTTGCATCCTGGACTAACGAGGATTTTGTTATTATTGCACGAAGAGTCATCAAACGATGCATCCCATCCCAGAGCCACACACTCAAAGATCTGCATTTCTAAATTTTCCTCAGTGACGATGACGGTGAGCCAGATGACGACGATGACGACGAGGACGATGATGACGAGGAAGAAGACGACGAAGATGAGGAGGACGTGGATGAGGAGGAAATAGAAGAAGAAGAGGAGGAGGAGGAAGAGGAGGAAGAAGACGAAAGCAACGGCAACAAGGTCCGATAAGTGTGTTCATGATGTGTGGCAGGTAGAAAAAGTTTAAAAATAAATAAATAAGTAGATGAATAATTACCTGCTGAGCCCGATTTCCACCTGACGTGTGGGTACAACAACATTTTTGTTAACTTTACCACCAAAACAAGACATCGTTTGAAACCGTTCGTTATGTAATCATGATATTAAACTATCGTTGACGTCTCCAGCAGCAGCAGTCTGAACCAAACAGGAGACATTTAGTCTAATCTGAACGACACACTAGCTGCTGTTGTTGTTGTATGTATGTGGTGCTGTGTTTTAGTTTAACCTCCTGTCTCTGTCCCTCCCCTCACAGCTGTCCACTCCTGTATCGGCAGCCCGGCCGGCAGACGTCTCTTCCTTCCTCAGCTTTCCGTCGCCCGACAAGCTGCTCAAACTGGGGGCCAAGAGAGCGCTGCTGATGGAGCAGCAGGTAAACAAAGGGAGGATGCAACCCACACACGACCACCACAGAGCGTCACTGATGTGTTTGAGAGCTACTCAAAGAGAAATGTCTCTACAGGGAAGAGAAAATCAGCTCAGACGGCCTTGAATGCATCCTGTGTGTTTACTCGATAGGCTCCAGTAGTTCCCTGGTGTGTGTGAAGCAGGGTTACCATTCTGCTTTGTGTTCTTGTCTCTGTGTCTAGGTGGATGTGTCAGACGCTACAAAAACAGCCGAAGCCTTCCTCAAGATCACATCGGTGTACAAGGAAGAGAATAACGACGTTAAGAACGCAGTGCTGGAGACTATCGGTAAGATGCTCCGCTCATAAAGGTGCATGAATGATGAGGAGGTCATTCAGGCCTTCAGCGTCCTCTAATCACTTTTTGTTTAGGTGTTAGAAACAGTTCAAAAAATGTTTATACTAATTCCTGATGAAGAAATTGCATCAAAACATCGCTAATTAATTTGGTCTTGCACGTGAGTCTGTTTGAAACTTTTCTATGCGCTTGCTCCGCCTGCTTCACAAAGAGTTCCTTTGTCTTGGTTCACTGTGTTAGAAAGTCAGTTTGTAATCCAGTGTTTTTGTCCTCAGATGCCGTTCTGAAGAAAGCATTCGGCACTCCTTCCTTCCAAGGCTACAGCTTTGTTTCTTCTCTGTTGGTGCTGCTCGGACTTATTAAGGTACGTTTTATCTGGACACACACGCCGGTTTACAGAAACTACTTGTCTTTTGTTAGCTTTGCCTTTCGCTTGTCTGCATTTCTCCTGTTTTATTGCAGTAATAGTAATAGTAATAGTAACTCCTCAGCTGGAGATATCTACAGAAACCCTGCTTGTCTAGCGAGAAGGTCTCCTTAATGGTTTTAAAAGGACATGATTTCATCCTTCTGTATCATCCCACATACCGTGATTTCCGGACTATTGAGGCACCTGAAAAAAGCTGCACCCACTAACTTTAAAAAGAAAACCAGTTTTGTACATATTTTCCGTTGTTTTAACCCTTCCTTGTTGTTCTCGCTCCTTTCCTTCGTCCTGTCCACCGTCCAACCCTTCGTCCTGTCCATCGGGGCGCCTCAGAGCGAGGACAAGGTCAAGCCGGTGCTGGTGGTTCCCGGCCACCTCCACGCCTTGGAGCACGTTGTCCGACAGGACTACTTCCCCAAAGAGAGCGCGGCCGTGCTGGAAGCCTTCATGTCCCGGTAAGGACGTGATAGAATGAGCCAATCAGCAGACAAAATCCAGGTACACATCACCGTGACTACCTTCTCCTCCTCAGGAATAGAGCACACACATTGTTCTTTATTGCACTCGGTGCATGTGGTGAAGGTGGCGGATACACTCTGGGGATTTCTGATTTTTATGGTGAATTGGGTTTATTTTGTATTTTTTATTTAAAGCAGGGGTCTCAAACTCACGGCCCACGGGCCAATTGAGGCCCACGGGATGATATTTTGTGGCCCTCTACTTGACATCAAAGTTGCGTGTTTTTCTCACACACACCTACGCGAATTGTTGCCCTGAACGTTTTCTATTTTTTATCATTGTGGGCTACCATAGCTCAGGCTCGTGACAGCAACACAAATTAGCAACGCTAGTCACTTGAAACGTGATTCAGGAGCGTCACCGAGTGGAGGAAACATATATCCTGTCAGTGCAAAGGTTTTTTTTTCTATCTGTGTGAAAAGCTCTTCTCCACCATGAACTTTAATAAGTCAGAGTTCAGGTCCAGACTTACTGATGAGCATCTTCAAGCCACACTGAGGGTCTCAAATGTTTCCTCCCTCAAGCCAAATGTGGCTCAGCTGTAAGAGGAAGTGTAGGTAGGAGTAGGGAGGAGGAGCCTGTGTTCTGAAGAACCTGTCATGTTCTGAATTATTAATAAAGATTGAGACGATTGGATCAGTTGTACTTTGTTGGAATACTTGAAACCCTTTTTTTGTGGAGTACTTGATGCGGCCCAGCCTCACCCAGACGCTATGCCCCCGGGTAAGTTTGAGACCCCTGATTTAAAGTGTAACTTTTGCCAAACACTGGCAACAGCGCCCTCTATGGCCACACGTAGTAACTACAGGATGCTGGTGCATTAAATTCTGCTGGGCTGTAAGTCTGAGTGGTGTCGGGTGCTGATGTAAAGGTTGTCATCTCCCCCTCCATGTATGTTCAGATTCTGCCCAAACTTTTTGTCTGTTTGGCGACTCTGCTTGCCAGCAGTGTGCAAGCAGAATACAGAGGTAATGACCTGCTGTGCACGTATGAACTCCTCCCAGTGATTTAGAAAATAGTGTAATAATATCTATGTGTCTGTGAAGTCTGTTTATATGTGTGTCCACAAGGTCAAATCAAGACTTGAGTTGTGTATTTGTTGGGGGACGACTTTCCAGAATACCATCAAAGTCATTCTTTAGAAAAGTACAGCATTAAAGCATTAATAAACTATATTTGTTGTCATTGACAGGAACAACAAGGCCCTGGAATTATGTGGCAACGCCAGAAATAACCTCCAGTCAACACTGCAGAGAATCCGATCTGAGAGCTGAGGGCTGCACACACAGACTGAACTTTGACAGAACACTGACGGACCTTTTGGAAAGCAGCACACGACATCTGAAGCAGGTCAAACAGAGCAGCACTCGAGCAGAACTGTCCTCACTCAGGCTCACTGGGCTGTGTCACTGCTGTTCATCACAACTACAACAAGATCCGTTTCTCTGGACTCCACTTGAATGCTTTGTGGTTGAAGTAGGATATGCTCTGACGGTGTGAAGCCTTTTATGTACATCCACATAATCCCAGGACAGCACCGTCACCCTGCCTGCCTCTGTTCTGGTGGATAAGAAAAGACGTCACTCTTACTGAGGTCTCCTGGTTGGAGTCGCCTGACTGCCCGAAGCACACATTACACTCGGGTGCAAACTAGAAAAGCTCTAAGCAGGAATACCCTGGACTTGAAACCGTTAGCCGTTGTGCTTTTTCTATTTAATATCTACCTTTACTATTCTCTTGTTTTATATTGAATGTTTAAGAAATTCACAAATCTGGTCAAATGTTATTAAAATATCTATGACTGACGAATACGACCAAAATGAGAACAATCAAAAGGGATTGAATGAACTGAAATGAATTCTCTGCTTTTAAGCCACAGGTTACCAGAGTTTTTGGATTTGTGTTGCAAAAATAAAGTTCATTTGAGTGTTGGATGTTTCTCAGTCTTTGCATGTCGACTACGTAGAATTTTCTTTGGAAACTTATAAAACTCTAACGAGATACTACACATACAAGTCTATAAAAACTGATCAAGACAACGGCTATAGAAGGAGCTGAACTGGGGTTTTTAGTCTTTTTCCATCCTCATGAACAGAGTCATTAAACACTGATTTTAAAAACCAAGAGCTGGTTAATTACCCACATTGGTGGCTTTCTGTGCTTTCAGCCTCCACTTGGGTTGAAAATGTGAAGCCAGTGTGTTACTTTGCAGTCAGAGGGCAGCGGGATCAGAGGTCACTGCAGAAGAATTTACCAGAGCCTTGTTCCAGCAGAACCTCAGCGGACACAACGTCAGAAGGTAACGGACGCCTGAACCGGCAGCTTTAAGAATAATCCATCTTATAGAGTTCATGTTACCCAGAAAGCTGGGACGTCCTGCATGAAGGTAAGCCGGGTTTTGATTTGTTTTTTCTTACTGGACGAGCTGAAACTTGGTTCTAGTCCAGATTAAAGATGTTCTGATGTAAAGTATGTGATAACAGCCGGTAACGTGGTTTCATTTATTCCCTAAACTCCTTTAGAAGAAGCACTGAAGTGATGTTCTGGATAACCAATGTGTTGCAACAATAAACTTAAGCTTTAATATATGTGTTTTTAAAAAATGTTATTCTGTTTACATTTTTGCTCCTTACACTTTTTGACAATGCACTGTTATTTTTTATATTGTTCATATTTATCTCTTTTACTTTGCACTAGTTTTTCTTATATATAACTGTAAATATATAGATATATTTATAGCTATATGTTTACACTATTTATTAACAAGTCACTGCCTCACAGGCTCCAGTAGCCAAACAACGGCATCTTGTTTCCAGATTCATGATTGTGTTTTTGTGCAATGACAATAAAAGTCTATGTTTTCCTGACACAGATGCGGTTCTTCTGTGCTGCTTTCTTCCTGCTGCTTTCAACCCTGGAAGCAAAAAAATGTCCCAAAGAGTGCAGCTGTGACGGCACCCAGCTCACGGTGGCCTGCGTTGACAAGAACCTGACGGAAATCCCGCCGTCTGTAGACGAGGTGAGGATTCCAGATGTTGTGCATGTTTTCACTTTTACAGCTGTTAGAGGAAGACACGTTAAGATTTGTGGGCTATTTGGTGATTTTAATTTATTTTTTTTAGATGTTTTTAAAAATGTTAACAGATTGTAAGACCACTGTGCAGATAAACCACAAGTAGGTGATTAAAATAAGCAACCTGAGCTTTGGAGGTGCATCCAGCAGCTGCTGTGTTTCTGGCATTCCTCTGTGGTCGTCGTTCCCTTTACAGATGCTTTCTAGCAGCACAGCCACGTTCAGTTCATGCAAACAAGCAGTTCTGACCAACAGAAAAAGTCTTACTGATTTTAAAGCAACTCAAAGATTCATTATCATTAAAGAGTGTGTGTGATGTAGGTTTAGCTGTGGATTCAGTCGAAGCTCTTGTTCAGACTTTTTAAACGTTGTAGGGATGAAACCTGCTTTAAAGAAGTGGTGGTTAAGAACTGCAGATCAATGAAGGCTGACCCAGAATCTGCAGCTAAAAGAAGGCTGAATGGACCCGAGCAGAAAGAGGACACTTTTCTGTCATTACATGTACTTAATTGTCTTGTGAGCGCATCAACAATATAACTTTACCAACCATTCCAGATTTTTAATAGAATAGAATAGAATAGAATAGAATAGAATAGAATGAAACTTCATTGAAATTGTTATACTAGAAAAAACAACACAACACAAAATAATATAATAATAAAGATTGATTAATAAAGATATAAATACTATAATAAAGCTCATACTTTAAATGAGTCCCATGTACCTCTATAAGGACATGATGAGAGTAAGTGACCACAAAAATGGGCCAACAGATGACATTTTAACACCCCAATGTGAGCAATGTTCAGCCTGGACACCCTGATAAAGACAAGAAACTGTATCACTCTGCCTCAGATACGTAAATGGTAAATGGTCTGCACTTATATCGCGTTTTTGCCCAAAGCGCTTTACAATGTGTTTCTCATTCACACATTCATACACCAATGGCGACGTAGCTGTCATGCAAGGTGCTGCCTGCCATCGGGAGCAACTTTGGGTTCAGTGTTTTGCCCAAGGGCACTTCGACTGTGGAGGGGTTCGAACCACCAACCTTATGATTGGAGGCTCTACCACTTGAGCCACAGCCGCCCTTATACGCCCTGATATGTCATCCGCTCTGTTTAATCTCTCTTCCAGATTACACTGAAACTGGACCTGAGGAATAACAACCTGCAGGTGCTGCCCAGGGGGGCGTTCACACACACGCCCTACCTGACCCACCTCAACCTGCAGCGCTGCAACATCATCAAGGTGAAGGAGGGGGCCTTCCGGACCCTCGGCCGTGTGGTGTCCCTGAATCTGGCCCACAACAAAATAGACATCCTTTACCAGGTGAGGTCAGAGGGTAGGACGGCGCCGCTCTTTGACCCTGTAAGCGTGTCGTATTGGATACACGAGTCTTTGGACCTCCGCCTCATCAGTGTGACGTTATTTCCTGAAAAAATACATTCAGTCCAAAGATAATCCACCAAAGATCAGAATTCATGCTCCAAAAATGTCAGCTGTAGCAAAAATGATAAAAATGTGAATTTTCTGGCATTTATTTCATGGTTCCGGCTTTACAGGGATCATGGATCCTGAAATGATGCTGACATACGAGATTCTCTTGTTTTCACCGCAGGAGTCCTTTGACGGCCTCTCCTCCCTGAAGGAGCTCCATCTGGACCACAATCGTATCGAGGAGATCCAGCCCGGTGCCTTCACGCAGCTTGGCTTCCTCAACATGCTGACGCTCAGCCACAACCAGCTGGTCTACATCCCCAACATGGCCTTCCAGGTGAGCACCATAATGGGTGAAGACTTCAATATTCACACACATACGGTTCCTCAAACAACTTCTCTTCCAGGGCCTTCACAACATCAACTGGCTTCGTCTGAGCCACAACTCCTTGAACAACCTGGCGCCAGAGGCTTTCGCCGGATTGTTCACCCTCAACCGCCTCAGCCTGGATCACAACGAGCTGCAGTTCTTCCCCACGCAGACGATGACGAGGTGGGACAATCAGGAGATTACTGTGACCGCTGTAGTTTTAATATTCTGGAGGAAATAAGAGTCATGACTTCACCTCTCTGAAAGAACGAATGCCACAGCAGCAGTATTACTGACAAACAAACCAAAAACTAAATACTGATCAATACGAGACCAGTAAGAGAAAAAGTTCTGGGATTTTCACTTGGATGTTCAGACAGAAAACTGGCGCTGGTTCCTCCGTTTTAAGTTACTGTGTAGTTTGGCCTTTAACAAAAAAAAATGGAGGAATGTGTTTGTTAGATTTTTGTGAAGATGTTGGTCTTCAGTAGGAACCAGCCAGTTAGGGCTGGGGAGTCACAGAGAAGGGAAGTCAGGCAGTAGTAAGAGGTGAGGACATGTTGGTTTTGGTCTTTTTATGGCTTTTTTTTTTTGATGAAAACATCAGGACAGGTACAAACTTGAAAACTCCTGACAGAGGAGAGAAACATAAAGAACATCTACTTCCAGTAACTGCTAACATCTCTCCCACCTCCAAAGGCTCCGCGAGGTCACACATCTGGACATGAGCCACAACCCCATGATCTACCTCGGGGAGGAGTCGGTTTCCATGGCCAAGCTCACGCACATCTACCTCAACCACATGTCCCTGCAGGACCTGTCGGACCAGGCTTTGTCCGGAGCCCCCCTTCTCTCCCACGTGGACCTCAGCCACAATCAGCTTCGTTACCTGGAGCCCCTCTCGGGCCCCAAGGACCTAACCAGCCTCAACCTGACTGGTATTCTTCTTTTATTACCCACACATGTTGGCTTGCTGTGCCAGGAGGGTTGAAGGTTTTATTTCACCCTAGCATAGAGAAATTATCTTCATCACCTGTAAAGTGGTGCCATGAATAAAACAGGACAGTATGTGTGTGTAATCATTAGTGCACGCTGAGCATCATTTTTTCTTCAAGGGAACCAGATCTACTGTAACTGCTACATGCGGCCCCTGAAGGAGTGGGCCAGAGCCGGAGGTGTGGAGCTGCTGGGGGCCTGCGCCGGACCTCCTCACCTGTCAGACGAGCCGCTGCAGGCCGTGGCTCCTCTGGATCTGCGATGTCGCAACAGGGCGGAGGCACCAAAGGAGGAGGAGGAGGAGAAGGAGGAGGAGAAGGAGGATGAGAGCCCTACCAACGCCCCGTCTAAACCCACAGCCAAACCCAAACAGAAAGTCAAGTGTCCAGTTAACTGTGAATGTAATGTGAGTGCTGAGACAGACACAATTTAGGATTTTGTGCACAAGTGTTGTAGTTCCACTCCACCTACATTTGCTGCTCTTTAGTAAAAATAAAGGCAGAAATAATCAACGGACCTTATATTCATCCAGTGGCAAAAAATGGACCCTCAACTCCTCAAATGAAGGATTTGTTTTAGTAGCAAGTGAAGCAACTGCTTAAAGCCCTGTAGCAGGATGAAGGCTTGTTTCTGCTGCCCTGAGTGGTTAAAAAAATGTCAGTTTAGAATTGAATAAAATATCAGAGTGCTAGATTCTCAAGTGTTTATAATTTCCAGATGTACTACAAATACTCTTCAAATCTGACCCACCCTAGATTGAAGCCCAGCACGCCACTTGTGAGGATCGGGGTCATACTAAAGTCCCGCGAGGTTTCCCCGCCAAGACGGAGCTGCTGGACCTCCGCAGCAACCACTTCCACCACCTTCCTGCCAGCAGCTTCCCAGGCTCCAGCCAAGTGGTTTCTCTTCACTTGGAGTTCTGCAAAATCCGCGAAATCGAAAACGGCGCTTTCCAGGGGATGAAAAACCTGTTTTATCTGTACCTCTCTGACAACGACCTCACGTTCTTGGACCCCAGGGTGTTTGCTGGAACCCCTCAGCTCACCTACCTCCACCTGGAAGGGAACCGGCTGGTGCAGTTTCCTGGGTCAGGTCAGTGGTTGGTCACTAACTTGGTTTATTTGTATGCAGATTAATGTTAGAGGAGGTAACGCAACCCAGGAGCTAAAACAGATGTTTTGTGTCTCTGCTACAGCTCTGTCGCTCCTACCAAGTCTGTTTGTGCTGCATATGGAGCGAAATGCCATCTCCAAGCTAGAGCCCACAGGTCTGCTGTCCTCAACAACCCCTAGATTGAGGGAACTGTACTTGAGCAATAACACCATAACTGTCATTGCCAAGGGTGCTCTGGACTCTGCTACCCTCAGCACACTTCACCTGGATTCAAATCAGCTGACCGAGGTGCCCACCCAGGCTCTGTCTGAGGCCCCGAGTCTGGAGGAGCTTAACCTGTCTCAAAACTCTGTTCGTCGGGTCGGACCGAAAGCATTCCAGCCCGTACACCAAAGCCTGAAGAGGCTTTACATGGATCACACTGGAATGGAGAAGGTACAGTTTTAAGCCAACATAAGTGAGAAAAGCTCCCATATCAGTCATGGCCTGGTCTTCTTTGTTCCTTATTTCTATCTTTGTGTTGTTGCTGTTTTTTTAATGTATTATAACATCTGGAGAAGAACATGGAGGAAACAGGCAGAGACTTCAGAGCGTAGGTCTTGTTGTTGGTCAAACCATAGAGACGGTTGGGGGGTGGGAGGGATGTGAAGACTCCTCCATTGGAACAATAATCACAACTAATAGATATTTTAAAAGTCAGATTTAGATATTGAGATCCAAACACTTGGACAAAGCTTGACAATCATCTCTGTCTGTTATGCCACTGGCCAGATGTCCAGCGATGCTCTGCTGGGGCTGGGCTCGGGCCTGAGGGCTCTGACTGTCAGAGGAAACCAGCTGGAGGAGCTTCCTGACCTGAGTCCACTCACCGGCCTGGATTTGATTGACCTGCGGGACAACCCCCTGCTGTGCGACTGTCCTCTGTTGCCCCTGCGCAGGTCAGTACATGTTAGGAAGCATGGTGGCACAAATGGCATCTTAGTTCGATGAAGCATACTCATCAGTGTTTCACTGTTTGCTCTCTGCCTCACTGCGTCTCTCAGGTGGATGGAGAAGGTGAGTTTGGAGGTGATTGCAACCTGCGGTCGCCCTCCTGAGCTCAGAGGTCAGAAGGTCACAGACGTCCACGTCTTCACGTCCTGCCCAGAAATCATGTCTCCTCCAGGCGAGAAGGTTGCTGTGGACCCCAAACCTCCAAAAACGAAGAAATCCAAACCCTCCAAACTCTCAAATTCCCCCGGAGTCAAAGCTTGGCCTGAAAGGGCCAAAGCTAAAGTGGCCAAACCAGCCAAGAAGCAGCCTCAGAGAAAACCTGTGACACCTAAAAAGACAAAGAACAAGAAGACACTGTCATAACAAATACAGCAAATTAGGTTGCAGTGTGCCCAGGCATCATGGTAATGGGTTAGCTACGGCAGTCTGACAGCAGAAGATGATTTTACAAGTTAAACTGCTCTAGATTACAAGTCTGTGTGGAATTTATATCAAAGCAGGATAAACCCGTCAATCAACAAAGTGAAGAAAAGAGCACAGCGTAAACAGTCAGTCCCTTCCCCGTTCTGTAGGAGGTAAACACATTATAACACAGAACAAAACCACGTCTTCAACACTGAAGACAGCCCGACTGAATGAAAACTGAAAAACATTATGGACGATCAGTAAAACCAGTGTAGGTGCCGTTTACTATAGAGATGAGTGAAAACAGCTGTGATTTCCAATGAGCCTAATTGCATGAATATGGTTATTAAATGAGCTTTTCTGGACCAATCTTGGATGTATGGGCTGTTTCTATGTCGGCATAGACTTAGACTGACTTTATTAATCCCAGAAGGGAATTCAGGTATTACAGGAGCATGACTGTTCAACAGAGGGGGTAGATGAAGCAGAAAGACAACACAGAATATTAGGGTATAAAATGGAGGTACAATAAAATAAGATAAAAATATAGAAAATATAATATAGAAGAAAGTCAACGAAACTTACAAAAATATGTAAGAGAAATACAGAAATGTGCAAATGATAATGTGCTATTGTGTGATATAATAATACACATCACGGCTGCAGATGGAAGAGAAATGCCAGCGGGACTGAAAAATCTGATTGTGAGATTTCATCATCGTTAGAAAAGGATACAACAACAACAACTTGCAGGTCTAATCAGGAGCTATAGAATGAACCACAGGTCATCATACACACCCAGCCGCCATATACATACATACACTTTTCATTTATAACTGTGACAGCTGTCTGGGTGCACTGTGTTCTGGTTCTCCGACCTTCTGGAATAAAAACGTGTCTGTTCGACCCAGATGTGTTCCATCACTACAAATGTTCCCGATCAGCTGTATAATAAAGACTTGCTGCAGGATGCTGCTCTGTACGGCGGTTCCATGGTGTAATGGTTAGCACTCTGGACTCTGAATCCAGCGATCCGAGTTCAAATCTCGGTGGAACCTGCGCCACAGTCTTTTTGATGCGCTACTCACTCCACGTAATGATAAAATGCCACTATTTTAATCAGCGTACCATAATTAACGATTTCCGCATGCCTAATGTCTTCATACAAACCGCTAAACTACGTGATTAATGGGTGCTATTTACTGCCGGAAGTTGCCGTGTTTCTTCCGGGTCGGTTCTTCATCACGTCAAACTTCCTCGCTTTTAAGATGGCAGCAGCTATGGATGTTGATACGCCGAGCGGCACGAACAGCGGGGCAAGCAAGAAGCGCTTTGAAGTGAAGAAGGTACAGTTGTTTAAGTAATTTATTGAGAAAGGAGAATTTATAATCCTCCAGTCGCGTCAAATGCCCGCCAACACAGCTCACTGCCTAGTTAGCCGCCTAGCGTTAGCATGCTAACGCTAGCTTAGCTCCCTGTAGCCGAACGTCTTTTACCACAGTGTAGCCGTTAGCATGCTAACGCTAATTTAGCTCCCTGTAGCCGAACGTCTTTTACCACAGGAGCTGTGTAGCCGCTAGCGCCATGAATCTGCACTTCTGTTTTTGGGACTACAATGAAAAAATACTATTGTATAGAGAAGTCAGAGGAATCACAAAGTATACATCTAGTCGCATAACAGCGATGTCATCAACGTAACCAGAAAAGCAGGTCCAACGTTAAACTTTAGCCAACAGCTCGGCTTATAAGTCGGCATACTGAGTTAGCTTAGCTAGCTAAGCTGCTTTTCTCCAGATGGACATACGACTGAAGTCCTTTTTTGATATGGAGTTAATTTTCATAAATATTACCTTCCCCTATTCTGAATTTAAATGCACACTCTGATTTTCTGTTCTATAATCAACACGTAAAATGTCATAATTAACAACATTACCTCTATGAGACCCGTCAGGTTTACTGTAACAGACGTCAGGATTAGTTTTTGCTTCTTTGTGCCGTAATGATAATAATAATGTGGCAGAAAATCACCAGAAACCATGTTGGTTGGTATTTAGGATGCTGAAGTGAGAAAGGAGCAGAAAGGTGAAGCTGTACCTTTTCCCTTTTACAAATGAAACGACCTGTGATGCTCTTAACAACCAGTTTTAAGCGTTAAAATCGACCTTAATAAACCCTAACGTTGAATTAGTCCTAAAACTCTGCCCATCAGACCACAGCAGCTTGTGCACCAGCTGACTAAAATGATCGGGGTTACTCTGTAGGTTATTGCATCTGCACAGAAAATAGAACATGGAATGCATGTAGACATGCAGTTTCTGTAATATAATATGGAGCCTGAGCACTTCCAACCTCTGACCATTTCCACATGTTGTTTGGAGTTCTGCTCAGACAAGACCTGTTGTTTTAAATGTGATTAAACGGTACCGTTACATAAAGTTGTCATTCAGACTGAGTATCTTGGTTGGATGATGTTTCTGTTGTGACTCCCCTCCAGTGGAACGCTGTGGCGCTGTGGGCCTGGGACATTGTGGTGGACAACTGCGCTATCTGTAGGAACCACATCATGGACCTCTGTGAGTTCACTTGGACCTCATTTTGGACTCCTTTTTTCTTAACATGTTGGACGTATTAATAAACGTTTTTGGGGATGTCCAGCTTCTACGGCTCTGACTGCTTTGCTTTCATGTCTCTCAGGCATAGAGTGTCAGGCCAACCAAGCTTCTGCTACCTCTGAAGAGTGCACCGTCGCCTGGGGCGTCTGCAATGTGAGTTTCCATACCTGCTTCAAACATCTTTATCTCATCGGGTTGATTCCAGCCACGTCATTAGATTTATTTTTTTCAGGTTTGAGTTATCCCAGGTACCAGGGACGTTGTGTTTGGAAATGTTTTGAGCTGTAATTTTTTAAGAGATGGATATAAACTAAAACTATTCGCATTAAAAGATACGACATAGACGAGCTTAGTCATGTCTTCATGGGTCAAATGTGAGTGTGACTTGCTTGGAGTTTCATTCAGTAACTGATTCTGACTTGATTTTACAGATGACAAACCACCAGCTCATCATAATTCATTTTGACAAGCATCAGAAAATCCATGTGATGCGTTTTGCTGCTAATCGTGGGCTTTAGATTCTAGGCTTATGATATATTATGACAGTGTATTATGGTATGTGACCCAGAAATGGTCCATGTCAGGATCATGTGATGAGGAAAGGTCGCTCAGTAACGTTAAAGTGTCATTAGAGTTCATACTGTATGAAAAGGTCCTGTTTTTCAAATGTGGCTTAACTAATCTAGGGTAACATGATCCTGTTAAATTAGCATCCATCTAATTTGGTTTGTTAGCACAAATTTCTTCTGTGTTGTTGTTGTAGACTGAGCTCCACATGTCTAACCAGTCTGACTTTTCTTCATTGTCGTACGTTTCAGAGCTGAGTTAGATCAAAAGTTTAGTACAATATTCATGGGCTCTTAAACCCGGGACTGAAACATTGATCGATTTCAAAGGCTGAAACCTCGGATATACGTTGCACAGAATTCCTGACTTGTGTTTTCAAGTTTCATGTCAGTGGTTTTACAAATTCATGCATCTTCTGACGATCTTATCGACCACATCAACTACTTCTGTTCTAACTATTCAAATGCTTTGCTCGACCAAAATCCAACAGGAAGCCTCTAATGAGCAGCGTGCTGCATGATTCAGACGAGTCTTAATGGCAGCTGTTATTTAGATGAGTCCAAGCTGAATTACAAGTACACTGTGACTGGATAATCGACCCTTAACAATCCTAAA